CTCTTTGAGGTACCACATTGACCAACGATGACATGACAGCAGTTGCCTACATTGTTATAAAAAAATAGTCATTAGGGATTAAACTGGTTGCACATGATCAATGACATGGGCTATTTCCAGGTACTGAAATGATAGTTTTTGATTGTCAGCTTTTTCTTTTTCTTTTTTTAATCTGCCAATGAAATTTTTTGAAGGCATATATACAATGTGCAATTAATTTGCAAACCTTATGACTTGCTCTTGACTCTAGCCATTTTGCTATTGTAAACAAAAAGACAATTGTGCCAGATTCCCAATAATCCTTGAGAGCAATCGATCCAGCAACTGCAAGGCATTAAATAATTCATCAAGAAACTTGAAGGCAAATGGCTCCAACCCAATTCAACCAACTAGAGGAGTGATAGGTAAATCAAAATTAACAAAGACCTGAACATGTTCTAGTGTGCATTCGTATATATTAGCGAAAATTGCAGCAGAGGTCTCTAACCTTTTCAGTTTTTGCAGACTTTACTCTAACCTTCATTTTGTGCTAGCGAAGATCCATAACCTTTCATAAATATGTTGTTGGAGTCCAAATTGATGGAAAACATCTATTTGACCGTTAGTTGACCAACAAAGTCAAAATTCGATTAATTTTGACTGAATTAAATCCGCAAAGTGATACTTTGAATTTTTCTCATATTAAATAAGTTAAAAAAATTAAATTAAAAAACCCAAAAATTAAAAATAAATATACAACCACACTCCACTCCACCTCACCCCACACCCCCAAATCAAAATCTGATGGGGCCTCTTCTTCTCCGACTATATCTACTAGAAATCACTGCCACTGCTCCTGCCACCTTCGACCCATACCACCACTACAACTCCCACTCACCACCACCCACGCTCAACACTGTCACTATGAAACCAAAATTCAAATTCATTTCTATTAAACCTAAAAATCAAATTCAGCATTGCTGTTACTATTATCGCTGCTCTTAGTATCATTATTGTCTTTCTTTTGGCTGTGAGTAATCGGGGTCCACTTGTAGAGCACAAGGTGAGAGGAGCCATTACAGCCATTAACGATGTTGTTTGTTTCCGTTTGGTTGGAATTGGAGGGCGGGACATTGCCTACCTTTTCTTCCGCTTATGGACTAGCCCCATGAAGACGGTGGCACGGCGGGGCCGTACCTAGATGAGGACCGCCCGAACCTAGTCCTTAATCCCTCCATTCCTCAATATAAAGCCTAATGTCGCGGACTGAGACGACGGGAGCAAATATGGGGCAACTTCTAATAAGTTTAGTTTCTACATTTATTCTATGCCCTAAATCATGATATTTTATTATTTTTTGGATAAAATTTTACCTAATTTATGTTATATTGTATTTTTATTTAAAAATTTGTGTTTGATAAAGAATTGGAGAAAAGAATGTAAAAGTGACGAAAAATGACAAAATCCAAAGATGAAACATTGGAGAGAAATATTACATTAAATTGATTCGAGTTAAATGAGTCTCAATAGACTTGCATTGAAAATTTTAATTGGAGGCTCAATTTAAACACACACATATATAGACTCAGGTAGAAGAGAAAAAAAGAAAATAGAAGAGGAAAAGAGACGGCGGCGAAAAGAAGAAAAAAGAGAGAAAAAAGAGGGAAAGAAAATAGAAGAAGAAAAGAGAGAGATGAGAGAGAAAGAAAAGAGAACGGAAAACAGAGAAGAAAACGGTGCAAAGAGAAGAAGAAAGAAAGAAAAGAGAGGGCGGACACTAGAAATTTCACGTTTCATCAATTTTTGGTGATATCATTCCACTTTTATGTGTTTTTATTTTATATTATCAATAACTAATTTTTATATTAGGGAAAACAATGTACTCGACTTGTGATCCTTTATTTTTTTGTTCAATACTTATGTGATTTATTTATTTATGTGTTGATTTAAGAGACTCACATAATCATTAAATTA